AGCATCTGCCTTGGCTCGCAAAATCCAGCATCAGGCTCCTTGCTCAGCAGCAAGCCTGCTTCTCCCTCTGCACCCCCCCCACTTGTGCTCTCTCTCTCAAATAAATAAATAAAATCTTTAAAAAAAACTTGTCTCCTCTTATAAGGGTTTTATAGCTTTTCCCTTTACATTAAAAAAAATCTGGAATTTATTTTGGGGTAAAGAATGAGGAATAATTGACCTTTTTTCTTCATATGAATGACTACCCAGTTGTACAAAACCATATGCTGACTAACCCATCTTTCCCAGCGGATTTGAAATGGTGCCTTTATCATATATTAAATTCCCATGTATGCCAGAGTTCAGCTTTGGAATATCTATTCTGTTCTATTTTCTATTCCTAAGTCAGTGCCATATATTTTTAACTACTTTAGTTCTATAATACATTTAAGTACCTGGTAGGGCAAGCCCGCCATCATTACCCTTCTTTCTTATGCTTTACTTGATATTCTGTTTTTCTGGGATTGTATGTAAATTATTTTTTTTTAAGGAGTAAAATGTTGAAAGATTATAACAGAATGGGTGATAACCCCTCTTTTCTTTTAGGTAGTCATATGTAAAAATGCACACAGAGAAACAAATTTTATGATTTATGGACTTGAAGATAAATATCAATCACAGGAGACTATGACCAAGGGGTGTAAAGAAAGGGGGGAGGGGAAGTCTTAAGAAAGGGGAGTTACTACTGTGGGCAATATTTCCAAATAGAAACAGACCCTAGGAGCAGCTAATTACTAAAGAAATAGTGGGAAAAATCCAGGGGAAAGAAAAACATGAAAGCTTAATCTAGATTGGGGGAATTTTAATCCAGAAACTAAGAGGCTAAACCTAAGATAGAGGAAAGAAAAAACAAAAATAGAGGTGGGGGTTGCCTGTAAGTGCAACAAAGAGATTGACTCTAAACCTCATCAATGTATTAAACTAAGGCCAACTAATGTATTGAATCCTGAGACTATCCCCTGCAGTTTATCTATTTTGCACCCAATCTTTCATCACCGAACTAAAACAATTTTCCTAGCCCGCATTTACACACCTAGCCTGTGTGGATATACATGACCTTCTTGTAAGGTGTTTAGCAAGGTGTTCAGAGGGAAGGTAACAGTCTTAATGAAGGTCCTTAAAGTGTAAACACCTGCTGTCTTGAGGTCACTGACAGCAAATGTTGTTTATCATGTATAAAGGGATCAGGAGTACCACTTAAAGTGGGGCGTGTAAAGATGGTCAGCCCTCCAAACCTGGCTGTCACCTGTCTTTGGTCATGGTGATGTGGCTGGAAGGGGTTGCTGTGGCAGCCTCTGTTGTCAAAATCTTCCAGAGATGCCCATCTGGGGGCCTGAGGCAGAGTCCCCATAGGTAGAGGCCACAGGATGTCCCCTTGGATATTGCCAGATGCTCTGGTTGCTGGGCACTCTGTCTGGCAGGCAAAGCAGTTACCATGACAACCAACACCCCCGCCCCCACGTCTGCGATTTTTTTTTTTCATTTCTCCTTTCCCATTAAGTACCAAGGTATTACAGGGACAGGCAAGCATAGCTCTCAGGACAGAATGTCCTCTGCTCCAGGAAGAGGGGCAGGGAAGTAGGCAGTGGAGATGTGTACATGTTATGTCTGAAGGAGCCTTCATCAGTATAAATGTATATGTACCTGCTCTCTGGGTTAAAACGTGTGCCTTTGGTTGTATATCCATGCAACAAATGGTCAGATCACTGTCTATCCACACATTTGCTTTCCTGCTTCCCTCCCCTCTCTGCTGCTCTTGCGCTGGGAGAGCCACCCCAGGCCTTTGCCAGGGGAAGTGCTGAGTCATGGCTCCAGCTGTGTTTCTGTATCCTATTTTCCATCTCCATTCTTTCCTCAGTCAGCCCCTCACCCAGGCTGGGCTCTTTGTAGAGCTCTGAGCCCTCTTCACCACTACCCTCCTCAGCCTGGACTCACTTCCCTGAGGTTCACTTCTGGGCAGTAAAGAGAAGGCACCTTACTCTGTTTCTGCACTTTCTCCCTTCTCACCTTGCCTTCTCAGAAGACAGCCTTTCTCCATGTGACCACCCCTCCCTTACAAAACAAGAGTCTGACCAGGTTTGACCCAGGAGGCTAATTCTTCCATGTATTCATGCTGATCCTCCTCCAGTCGCTTACCCCCTAATCGGATTATGGCGGTGTCATGCCTTGGGGCATGGCAAGGAAAGTGAGATTTAATTTGACACCAAGCACTGAGGCTTTTTTCTCATTCTAAGTCTCGTTCCTGGAGGTGTGTGTGTGTGGCAAAGGGAGGATGCTGTGTCTATGGGTTCAGGGGCAGTACCTAGCGATCCCACCAAGAGCAGGATGTTTGGGGGGTCTCGATAGGCCCTCTGGTCTCTCTTTCCCACCCACTTTAGACTCTTCTAACGCATAAGTTCCAATCAAGTAGTCTTGCTAACAAGTTCTAAATAAGGCAGCCTAAGATTGTTTCCTCCGCTAGTGTGGGGAGAGTGGAAAGGTGGCCCCGCCCGCTCAGTCTGGTTACTATGGCGACAGCCGCGGGGTGACCCAAGTGCTCCTCCCTCCCTCCTCCCAAACCCAGAAAGATGACGGCACCGCGCTGACTGCGCCAAATTCCAGCCAATGGGCGGCTGCTCCCGCCTTCCCTTCCGCCAGCTCTCCCTCTTCTCCCCTCCCTCCCCCCCCCCGGGAATTCGATTCACAAATCTGGACTGGGGATTTCCGGCTCCAAGCCGGGTGCAAGGGCGCTGGGCCGAGGCCGGGGTAGAGTCGCGGTCTGTCCTCTTAGAAGGGCAAAAGGAAGCCGGCGTTCTTGGGTTCTCGGGCCAGACGCCTGCAACTTGCCATCAGAAGAGATCACAACCTGCTCCCAAATTATTCAGAAAATCTAGGTGAAGCCGAGTCTGCAACTCCTCCCGCCCCCGCAAGCCCCCACCCTGCCCCAGCGCGCCGGTCAGCACCACGGACAGCGAACCCGGGCCTAGTCTTCCAAGCCGCGGGGTTTTGACTCTTGATCCTCGAGGTCTAGGCGGCGACTAGGGTCAGAGACACCAGCGCTCTACTGGAGCCAGGCCTCCTTGGGCCAATGAAACTGAATGGGGCGCTTAGCCACGTGGCGAAAAAGGCAACGGGACAGGAATCTCAGGCTAAAAAGCTTATTTCTCTTCTTTCAACCCCTAAGAATGGCTCCTGTCTCCCAGGCTGCCTGTGTCCTAGCCTCCCTGGAGATAAAGGGCCAGGTCTGAATCTTAAGCAGGGATGGACTTCCCAAGGGTATCCTGGGTGGGGGTGTGACTGAAATGGCCTTGAAACAACCCAGGAGTTTGGAGGAGGGGCGTGGAGCTGAGTGTGACAGTCAGGCCCCACCCGAGAGTGGTGAGCACAGGCTTAGTCAGGCCTAACTAGACTCTAGACAGTATATATAGTGGGGAGAGATGGAGGAAAAGAGAAAAGAAGAGGTAGCTAGTTCTACCTCAATGGACCACTTTGTAAAGGGTACAACTTTTTGCTGTGCTCATCATTTAATCCCTAAATGGCCTGCGCATTAATGAAGAGCTAGATGAGACAAGATGGAGAAGTAATGTGTGAGGGGATTCAGCTTTATCACCAGGCCTCAACCTTTGGCTACTTTACTCTCAGTAAAATGGAAGCCAATGTGGGGGCGGGGGGACGGAAAGAGTAGCAGTTCTCAGGGATCCATCTCCCCCACTAGGCCCCTGGGGGCCCTCCTGCCCTATCTGTGACTGTTTCACTCCCAATCCCACTCCCTCCCTCCCGGGGCCCAAAGAAAGGCCGGCGCAAAACCATCTGCAGGCGCTTCCAGCGCTTTATAGTTCTCTCTGGGACAGACGGACAGACAGACAGTGCAGCCCGCGCCGTCGGCCCGCATCATTGGCACCTTGGACACGGCACCAGGCCCAACCCAGTCCCTGGTACCCTCCCGGGAGGATTCCGGTCCGGCCTCAAATCAGCACCTCAGACAGCTCCCGGCCCAACACCCACCCCTCCCCCCTCCCTCTGGAAACAACCAAATAAATTAAAAGGGAAGGAAAAAAAACACCTAAGGATAGGGAAGAGGGGTACCCCTCCCCCAGAGTAAGAAGAGTTTCTGTCTCCTCCCGCCCTTCCGCTGAGGAGCCGCCGCCGCCGGGGTGGCCTCCTAGGTTGATTTTGCTCCCAAACCTCAGTCTCCTGAAGCCGGCATCTCCCTCCCCCCCCAACTCCCGGCATGCAACACGTTGGAAAAGGTAGGGAGAGGAGGTGGGGGTGGGGCGAAGGACCATCCTGGTGGTTGTCTGGGCTCCTGGGGCTGCAGTTTCTCGCTGCACCGAAGTCAGTCCAAATCAAGAATTAATATTCCCTTTGGTCTGGGAAAGGGGATATGGGGGCTCAGTAGGGGGAAAAATGCAAGCTGACATAGGCGGGGGGGGATAAGCAGACAGGAGGGAAGATGGTGACACATGCGAGGAGCAAGGAAAAGAACGAGAAGGGGAGATGGGGACACAGGTGCAGAATGAGAAAGGGGGGCAATGATAGTCAGGTAGGGGGTAAGATGGAGATGGAAATACACACCCGAGGTACGGAAAATGGAAAGGCAGAGAGGGAGATGGGAAGGCAGACAGGAGGAAAGATGAAGATACAGGAAGGAGGCGAGGAAATGGTCAAAACCGAGGGAGATGGACTTACAGATACACATGGAAGGGAAGGAGGAGACCCGGGTAGAATTGGAGAGATGGGGGCACAGGCAGACAGAAAGGGTGAGGTTGGGGGTCCCCCTCCCGCGTTCATCCCCCACCCCCACCCTATGCCCAGCAAATCCAGAGCCGCGGCCTCTGGCGTCCTGGCCTCCACCTTCCCCTGCGGGACAGGGGCGGCTCCTCCTCCGGCCACGGCACGGAGCGGCGGTAACAGCGGCGGCGGCTTGATGGTCCCGGGGGCTCCGAGTGCGTGTCAGGGGCTGGAGTGGGGGGCGGGCGCGGCCCTTGGGAATCCCTAGCGGTCCAGGTTCATAGTCCAGTGCTTGGCTCCGGTCGCGCAGCTGTCCCTGGCGGCCGAGGAGGAGGCGGGGGCCGCGGGCGCGCCCCCGTTGGGTGGACCCCCGGCGCCCGCGGCAGCCTCGCCCTCGTTCTTGAGGTCTTGAAAGACCTGCGTGAAGAAGTGGGGGTCGGCGTTGAGCCGCAGCATCTGGGGGCTGAGCCGCTGGATGAGGCGCAGGCAGCGTTGCCAGAAGCGCTCCTTGTCGGGCTCCACGAGGAAGGGCTTGAGCGGGTATGAGATCTCGTTGCCCATGTAGGAGTAGGCGAGGTAGAGGCAGGTGAGGAAGGCGGCCTGCAGCTCGGCGGCCGACGCCAGCTCATCCCCGCGCAGCGACTCGCGGCACAGCAGGTACACGAACACCAGGTTGGCGGGCGTAATGAAGGCCTGGTCTTGCCAGCCCTGCAGCAGCAGCGAGCGGTCCACTCCGCGGAACCAGCCCACCAGCTCGCCCGGGCTCAGCTCCTTGAGGCGGTAGCAGCGTCGGCACACGAAATCGCCCAGGCAGCGCAGCAGCTCGCCGGTGGACGCCTGCACTATGACCCGCCGCGGCGAGCCGCCAGGCACCGGAGGCGCCGCCTGCGGGGCTGGGGGTGGCGGCGGCGGCGGCTTTCCCCCGCCCGAACCCGGCGGCGGGGCGGCCGCGCTGCCCCCCGACGGCGGCTCGCAGGTGGCGGCGGCCGCGGGCACGGTGGGCACCGGCACCGCCAGTGGCTTGGTGGCGCCGCCGCCGTCTGGGGGGTCCCGGCCCTTGCGGAGAAGGTTCTCGCGGTTGCGTTGCTGGACCAGGGGGTCGGGACCAGTGGACGCCGGCTTGGGCGTCACCTTCTTGCTGCCTTTCTTCTTCTTGGCAGACGCGGCCACCAGGCGCTTCCAGGTAAGCGCCGAGATGAGCACTGACGGCCGCTTGAGTCGGCTCTCGCCTTTGCCGCCCTTGCCTGCTGGCGGCGCCCCGTAGCCCCCCAGCGCCTCTTCCCCTGCGGGCGGCGCTTTCTTCTTCTCTTCGGGCAGCCCGCCGGGCCTCCGGCCCTTGGCCGAAGAGGCGGGGGAAAGAGACAGCACCGTGCCCATCCTGCAGAGCGGGGCCGGCGCCCGGGCCCCGGTGGGAACCGCGGGCGGCGCCGCTGTCGCCGCCGCCGCTGCTGCAGCCCCCGGAGACCCGGCGGTGGGGGGCCTAGCCCCGGCCCGGGCGCGGGAACTGGCAGGGGAGGGTGGTTGCTTGGCTGCTCCGCGGCGGTTGCTCGGAGTCTGAGCTGCGCCAGCTGCAGCGTCAGCCCCACCCCTTGGACCCCGTCTTTAGGCGCGCCGCGCCCCGCCTCACGCAGCCAATCCTCGCCCGAGTTGCCCTCCTGACCGGCAGCTCCTCTGACCAATAGGAGCTCGCATGCCAATCTCAAGTCCCGCCCCACCCCCCACCCTCTGTCTCGGGTCCTTTCCCTTCACCAGAAAGGGGAAAGGAGGAGGAGGTGGCCCTGGTTCGAAGGGCCTCCTCGGGGTCAGAGCTGGGGAGAGGGGTCTGGCTGCTCTCACTCCCCCTCACATCCTCCCCCGCGCCCCAAGTCCTAAGGCCCTGGGTCAGCGTGTTTTGATGTATTGCATCGCGGTAGCAGAGAAGCCCGGGAACAACCTCTCCCCCCTTTTGATTATGTGCTGGGGGCAGCGTGGGTAGTGAGTGCCTTCACCAGGGCGCCCCAGCACCTGCTGGGTCGAACTGCTCTGGCTTCTCCAATTTGGCCATAGGTCGATTATCTCTTAGCTCTCCTCTCCTCCCTTCATCCCATGCGGCCACCATGGTGCTGCTTGTGGTGGCGTGCCAGTAGGTGTCTTCTTGCTCTACCCGTGATGGGGTCCTGGTGGGGCCCGGACCTACCTGCAGGTCACAAACTCCCTCCTTGGGGGCCTTTGCTCCGGGGGCGGCCAGACCCTCAGATTTATGCCCGGCCTGATTCTCTGCAGCTGAGTCTGGGGAGAGGCCCTAGCCTCTGGTCCCTGGGTAGCTCCTCTTCTGCTCTTCTTCCCCACCAACACACCCTGACCCCACACTTGGGTGAGTGATGAATGATTGGTTCCTGGGGAAGTGCTGGAAATTGGATGGATGGGCTGGTCTCAGGCTCAGACAGGAGATGGGACCTCCTGTGCAGAGGGAGGCCCAAGAGGGTTGACCCAATCTCCAGCTTAGCCCTGGATCCAGGTTGAGTTGAGTTTGCATTGTTAAATTCTTCCTGCCATTCAGGTCCCAGCTGTCCCCACTCCCAGCTGCAAGCTATTAGGCTAGGTCCTGCCCATTTCTCTCTGTTCCCTCCTCAGCACTCACAGGCCTTTGTCCTCTGGGCCTTACCTGCAGGTCTGAGCCCAGCTGGTCCTGAGGCTGTTCTACCTGCCTTATAGGACAGTGTCCGCCCTTCTCCAGGCTTGCTCCCTGTAGCTCCCCAACACAGAAGTCTTCCAACTTTCTAAGTGGGCTTTGGAGGTGGGTATGATGGGGAGAGAAGCCCCTGCTATGGATTCAGCAAAACCCTCAGAGTTATCCCTAGAGTCACCTCTGTGTTCTTCATAGACCACCAAAATGACTTCCAGGGACCATTGCTGTTGCTTTGTGTGATGCACATGTGTGGGTGTGCTTCCTTCCATATAGGCTGTTCCAGAATCCCCTTAGGCTGCAGCTGCTGCCATTGGAGGCACGAGCTTTTCTCAGCTCTCCCACAGCCCCTGCTCACTCACACCTTCCTGGAGGCTTATGGTCTTGTCTTGACTCCCCATCTCTTTACCCCCCTACACACACAGTCTTATACACGCTTCCTGACTCAGCACCCAATGTTCACTTCTCAGCAGGTTGTCTCCTGCTCCCCTGAGATCTGATCATTATTCCCTTGCAGCCTGAGCTGACCTATCCAACCTCTCCTTCTCCCCCTAGTTGCAAAAAAATGTTCCCTCTTTTCAGCTCCTGTAATTGGTCCCACTTCCTCCTACAAGGCCTTCTGAGTCAGCCTTTATCGGACACCCAAGGAACAGTAGGCTCACCAGTAATTAAGGACACGTCCCACAGAGACTGAGTGGCCCTAGCAGAAACATGTGGATCTGAATGACACATGGGTCCTCCCAGCTCTACTCGCAGGAGTCCCTCATTGACTTAAGGCCTATTACTGGTGTCACATAGGACAAGATCGTCTATCTATGCAGCTCCCACAGATGTCACCACCATGGTACCCCCACTCCAGGCTCAATTGTGACCTCCTAGTTTCCTCTGGGTCAGAATCAAGAATTCTCTTCCCTGCTTCAGGGTCCCCAAACACGTGCCTTAAAAGGTCTTACTTCCCATCTTATTCTTCACCTTGTCCCACATTGGTCCCTCTCTCTGGCTCACACTTCCCACCCTCCTACTTTGGTTATCCCTCTCGAATCTCTGAGCTCTTACCACTGGGCCAGAACCCTTCCTCAAACCACTACCTTGCCTTCTTCTGTCAAACTCTTGAAAATCACCTCCTCCAAGAAGCCTATTTGGACTGATTGCAAGGGACATAGTGCTCTTCCTGACATGAGTCTTTCTAATCTCTTTCCCCAACAGCAGCTGCTACATAACAACTTGTTTACGGGCTGGGCTCCGAGTCCTGAGTCAAAGATGTGCAAAATGAATATGGATGAAATTTTTAAAGGAAGCAGACAAAATAGTCAAAACAGATTCATAAAAAAATAACAACATTTCTGTTATTAAAAAGAATTAATGGAGGAGAGAGGGTGGAGGCCAAGGGGAATAAGCACAGTGAAACCAGAAAGACTCCAGGGAGAGGGTAGGCTTTACAGAAGGGCAGTGCCTTCCCCACCACATCTGCAAGTGTACTTTTCTAGGTGGGTGATGTTTAGGGTCTATATTCAGATTGATTCATTTATCTGTATTAGGATCTGTATGTCACTTCTCATCTGTCCATTTCTCATGGATGTGCGTGCTCCTCTGGGACAGGGCTGGCTGTATTACCCTCCCCTTAGCTGAGAACCCACCCACCCACCCAGGCCAGGCTCCTTGTCTATCTCCATCACTCGGTAGGTTACCTAGAACAGTGCCCTGTCCAGATAAATGGTTATTCCTGCAGGCTCTTTAAGGCAAGATCTGTAGGTCTAGACCAAGAATTGGAAGGCTTAGACCGGGGTATCAGCCTGTGTAGGAACGCAGCCTTATCGATGAGGATTACCACCAACTCCACCTTAGAGATGGGCCCTTCACTGAGCCACCCTGGGAAGATGAGCCCCATCTTTAAGGGAACATCTCCAGGGAACGCTGCTCAGACTGCTCTGCCCTTTGGCTCCTTCTTGGAGAGACCATAGTCTAGGAAGCAGGAGGTAGGGGTTCTAGTCATTTCAGCTCTCTGGGCCTCCTTTTCTTCCTATTAAAATGCAGGGATTCTATATATATGTTACTTTCATTATTGGACAAAATGAATATTAAAGACATCAGATAACATCTTGGGGATTGGACTTAAAAAAAAAGATTCCTAAAGCCTCTTCCAATTCTACAATTCTGACTCTAAATAAAACCCATGCTATGAATTTGTTTCATTTTCTAGCTCCAGCCCTGTCTGGTTCTCCCTAGTCTGTTTCTGCCTGATGGGCTCAGGCTTTGTGTGCACGGCGTCCGGCATCCCTGAGGCCTTCTGCAGTTCAGCCCAGGAGACGAGGGGGAGGGTGCTCAAGTTCACAGTCATGCAAATCTCCCTAGGTCCCTCCAGGCTTTATTGGGGTCCCTGAAAAGTTCTGAGACAAAGGATGGGATGCCAAGGTGGTGCAGGGTCTCCCCAGTAAACATTAAGGCTAGAGGCCCCACAACCTACGGTCATTGCATCCTTTGTCTTCAAGGGGCCCCTACAGAGAGGCTGATGACAAGGAAGGTTCTTAGAACAGCCTGTGTGGAGACTCAGCCTGGACATCTGAATGCCTGGATCCTGCTGCCCCCACCCCTTCACTGATCCAGTATCCCCGCCCCAGGGTCTCAGCTCCTGAGGTGTGCAAAGGGGGAGGATATGCACCTGCCCGGCCTTCCTTCCCTCTCCCAAAGACCTTAGCCCAGGAGAGCTGGGGTGGAGGGGGGCAGTGGAGGGAGAACCTTCCCCAGGCAACAGTGGGGAGTGGGGACAGGGGATGAGCAGAGAGAAGAGATGAACCTGACAAAGGAGATACTGCCCACGGTCAGGAGGGAGACCCCACGTTCTCTCCCATCCTTCCCATTCCAGCAGGCTCCTTGCTAGAAGGACTTAACCGAGGAGGCCAAATAGAGGTTTCTTAGAACAGAGAATGGGGGTGGAAAGCACCAATGAAGAAGAAGTGCCCTGAGTCAGGGAGAGAGGGGACTGATGCTGAGATGCTGGAGGCCCAGGCTTAGGGGTCGGGGGAGGATGAGGGTGAGCTGGGGGCTCCTTTTCCTTGCCATAGGCTCTGCCTCCTTCCTTAGTAAAGCCTTGGTCTCCCTTTCAGGTTACCAATGCCAGCCCTCCTCATCCTCACCTCTGGATCTTCTCTCCCCAATCCCCCAGCTCCTGCCTTCACCTTCTTTGTCACCCCCCGAGCACAGCTCTCCCTTTCCAATGCTTCCAGCTCCCTTCAGTAGCTTTATTTCTCAGTTTACTTTGTTCTGCCCCCACCAAGCCCCTTCCCCCCTTTCGTGCCTACCCCAAGCGTCACCCCCCCACCCTGTCTCCTCCCTGCCCCTGTTGGCACCCTGCATAGCACTCCAGATGTAGGAGCAGATCAAGAAGGGCGGGGGTGGTGGCTGTTGCTTTTCTGGGATATTCTTAGCCTGTCTGGGGGCTGGAGCTGGAATCAGTGTTTCCATCTCAACCAGGCAGGTGGCTTGCAGCCGCTGCTGTGACTGGGTCTTCATCTTGTTCCAGGTCCTTTTCCTTGTCCTCCTATGTCTCAGCTCCACTCTGTGAGCACAGACCCCGGCGCCCTGAGGGAGGGGCCTCCCTCCACCCTGGCCAAGCCCCAGTGAGGTCTTCAAACCCTGCTCTTGGAGACTCTTGGGGAAAAGGAGGGCCTTTGAGAACTCGAGCTCAGATGTTCCCTGATCAGCACACAGCCTTCGCCTCTCTGCCCCAAGGTGGGCTTTCTTCTGACCCAATAACCCGAGCTGGTACTTGGTCCGTAGACTCCAGTCG